AGCATGTTGGTGGGATGTCCTGAGAAACAAACTGGTGCATATGGGAAGCACAATGAATGCATTTTCTCCCCTAAAACTTTCTTCTTGTTGTCCCCATGACCTTGGAGTCACCAGCTCCATGGGAAAAAAAGCCTCTATTTTTGCATTTTAGAGCTTACCCATGGGGAAAAAAAAAGCCTCTATTTTTTGCGTTTTAGAGCTTACCCCCGGAGTTTTATAAATCTGTAGGGAGTATGTGTAAATTTGGAGTACGTGTAAATTTTTTTTGTTCTGTTTTTGTTTATTTGTTTTTTGAGATAGGGAAGAGTCCACAATGTACATCATTTAAACATTTAATAAAATCTTATATTCAAAAGATTATACCGTCTAGAGTAGTCCAATCTGTGATTTAATTTAGTGCACAATATTTTTGTATTAATTTTGCCTTCAAAAGTGGGTTAAATTTGAAATTTTATTTTGAAAAGAAACCTCTCTTCCTTTGAATTTATAGATTGGGGTAGCTGTTTTATCCAGTTGCCGTGTAGAATTAGTATTTACTGGACAAGATGTGTTGATTCAGGAGGTTGTCTGTGGAGTGTTTGCCCCGTGAGGGTCATATTAAACTTGAGAGAAGCTTTTTTGAGCACATAGCATCTTGGAGACAATATATCAAGCTGATAGATACAGGGCTCTTCTGTTAAGAAGCCAGAGGTGGAATTATGGCTGGCTCCCAGTTATTGCTTTGGTGCTAAGGGGCCTCTAAGGAGTAGATCTAGGATAAAAGGGGTTAAACAGAGGGGAAAGGAAGGTTTCCAGAACTCAGTGTTACTGAAAGCATACAGAGTACTTATATATAAATAATTTAAGATGATCACTTTTTGGAAATATTTTGCAATTTTATGTAATCAAAGTGTCACCAATTTAATGGAGCATATTTTTGTGTTATCACTCAGAAGAGAATCTATGCTACTTTATTATTGTAGCCCACTTTTGGGCACTCCTCTGTTCTTTCTTAATAGTACGGTAGTGTAGTTTTTAACACATGAAGGGATTTTTGTGTACATATTAAAAAATCTGATTTTTTCATGTTCACTTAGAACTGGTTTGCATTGAGAATTTGGATTGTCAATGACATTATACTCCTTGATGTAGAAAAATTAGACAAAAAAATAATCAAATGAGGGACATGGTTTTATATATTATACGTTATATGTAATTTGCACTTTACTTTTTACTCATGTTTTTGCAGTGTTCTTTTTGTATGTGCACTTATTATGAATTAATGAAAGACTGTATGTCAAGTAAGAAATCATCATTGTTAAAACTATTTGTATTCCCACAAAAATTATCAATTAAAAAGTCTTTAGCAATGAGGGTCCTTCAAACCAAAGATCTGGAGTTAAGTTATTGGGTAGTTGGCCAGGGACAGCAATCTTATTTCATTTTCTAGTCATGACACACTTCTACTAACTGAGAGAACGATTTCATACCATTTCCTCTCTCTTCAAGCATTCAGTTCCCCCTCATGCTGTGACACTGAGCTGATGCCTTTGCTTTTATTTTGCTCACTGAGAAACTGGGCATCATCAAAAGAGATCTTTGCTATTTTCCTATCACCCAATCTACTCACTTCCCTGCGTCTCCATCTCTGCATTCACTTCTGCACAATGGGAGGACTGTCCCAGCTTTGCAACAGCCAGTGTTCTGGCTCTCAATTAATTCACGTGTGCATGGGCTTTCCTCTCTCTCCCCACATGAGGCTTTGCTCTGGAAATTATTCTTTTTTCTGCATTATCATTTTCTGTAATTTCTCCTGGATCCTTCCAATAAGCGTGCATATGTGCTACAACATCTCCCAATATTTAGAAAACTTTCCTTTGATCCCATGAGCCTCTCTAGCTGCTGCCCCCTTTTCTACACCCCTTTAGAATAAGTGCCCTCAAAGGAGCTGTCTAAGCTCACTATATTGACGCATTCATTGTCCTCTCCTTGTCCTCTCTGCCTTCTCTAATCAGACCACCATGCACACCCCTGCACTCCATCTGCTCCTTACAAGGTCACCAAACACCTCCACCTGGCCAAATGCAAAGTTTAACTCCCATCTTCTTCTTCTTTAGACTCTCAGCACATTTGACAAAGTTGATCAGTCCTTCCTTTGTCATATGCTTTCTTTACTTGGCTTCCATATGCACCTTCTCTTAGTTTTCCTCCTACCTCACTTCAACACTCCTTCTCAGTCTCCTTTGCAATAGAGGGCTCCTCCTGACCTCAAAATGCTGGTGGATTCCAGGGTTCAGTTCTCAGACCTCTCCTATACTCACTGTGTCTACACTCGCTCCCTAGTTTATTTCAAGCCTCAGCCCTTAAATATCACATATACATCAGCCCCTGACTCCTATCCACCCTCATATCTGCAGCTTCTGCCTTGCTATCTCCACCGAAGATGTGTTAGATACCTCTTACATGTCACGTGGACAAAACAGAACCCTTGATCCCCTCCACAACCTTTTTCTTCCCTCGGGGCTTCTCTTCTCAGTGATGGCACCGCCATTCACTGGGTTGTTTGGGCTGAAAGCACTGGCATTGTCTTTGACTCCCTTATAATCTCTTAGCAATACACTCCACACGCAACTGGGCAGCACAATATGCACCACCTCCACTACCGTCACCCACACCTGAGCTCTTGTCATCTTCTGCCTGGATTACTACGATAGGCGACTCTGCCCTGTTTCCACTCTTGCCCCCCGGCCCCGTTAGCACAGAGTGGTCTCTATAATTCTAGAATCAGATAGTGGCATTCCCTTTTTTAAACCATGCAATGGCTCCAGCCCCATTTAGAATGCAATCTAAAGACCTTACTGTGACTTTTAAGGCCCCTCAAGAAGTGGACCCTGCCTCTCCCTTTGACATCTTGCCCTTTCCCCCTCCTTTCCGCGTCTGGGTCAGGCACACTGGGCTTTCGACTGATCCTTAAACACAGCCAGAGCTTTTTCCTCCCCCAATGCCTTTCCATGTACTGCTGTCTGTGGCGGGACTGCTCTTCCTCCCGATGATCTCATGGCCACTTCCTCATGCCACTGAGGTCCCTGCTCAGCTATCACCAAATTACACGTCCTGCCTATAATCTTCCTATCTAATCCCAATTGTTACCTAATCACTAAAATTGCACATTTCTTTTCACCTTCTCTCTCACTCTGCTTCACTTTTCTCCAGAGCACTTATGGCCATCTGGAATCATCTTATATACAGTATCTGTTTGTTTATAGCCCATTCCCTTCACTTAAAGATAAGCCACATAGGGGAAGGGGCAGTGTCTACGCAGTGCTGTTCTCCCTGCACGTGAAGAACACTGATTAGCACAGAGTGGAGCCTCAATAAATGTTTGTTGAACAAATAAATGAATTATTGATGAATTCAAAACTCTTACAACAGGTTAATGAAACATGTAATCTAATTCTTCCATTCTTATCACTAGTCCTTCATTAGCCTCATTATACACAGGCAGGTCCTTCTGAATTGGAGAGTACACAAAAGCCACACACGACACAAGGTTAGGTATGAGAGAAGGTTGAAAATGGACCCAGATAGTTCATTTGTCTTCATTATTTTGATCACTTCCCCTTCTTCACCAATGGCCTCTAGTAGTCTGTGGTCATTAGGAAGTTATATAAGAATATTCAGAATGTTCTTAACAAATTACGTTATAGCAGCAGTTCAATTATATTAAAGGAAGTTCAGATCAGTCCAGTGTAATAATAATGATAATAATAATAGTTAATAACTAATAATTACCAGAAGACCTCTGATCCTCACAACAATCCTACAAGGGGAAAATATTGTTCCTACTTTAACACATTAACTTCCCTGTGAGTTGTATTTAACTCACGCTAGTTTTGAGCCCGGGGCCTGCTAAAGTATACGTAACTCACATCTCTTCACCTTGGGAGCCACGTGAACTATTTTTCAAGTTGCATATAACTCACACAGAGAAAACAATAAGTTTTTCATTAAATTAGAATGGATAGTTTTGTTTTTGAAGTTTTTATTCTATAAATATTTTCATAAGAAAACACCATGGCTCCAGGAAAATTTTTTTTTCTAGTGTGTCAGTCAGTGTGTTAAAGACCAGAAAACATAGACTCAGAGTCATTAGGTGATTTTCCTAAAGCCACAGAATTTTGCTTAACTTGTTTTTGAGTTTCTGACTAGCTTTGGAACAGATGATGATATGATAGATCCATTCAAGTTATACCTATTAGAAAAATTAATTAAATTACCAGAATCATCTTGTTGTTTTTTATTTGTTTGTTTGTTTGTTTATTTTTTAGTAGAGTAGGCTTTAGTTTTACTCACTCCTGCTAGGCCTTCTAGATCCATGCAAATCAGTTTCCCTGGTAGACTGTATCAAGCAGGTGCGCTGAATTCAGGGCAGATTTGCCAGAGATTCAACTAGACCAGAAAAACCAAAAAAACCATATCCTCCAATTCCAACATAACAGCATAAAGGCAGGGACAGTATGAGAAGGGCTAATTGATTGTATGAAACACATGAAAAAAAAAGCTTAGTTTTTATATTTTCATAGGTGAGCATTAAGGCTGGAATATGCTATTTTCAGCCACTCATGTTTGCTTATCAATACAGAAAAATATGATTTTAGCAAACTTCCCTTCCTCCGAAAGAAAAGAAAGAGAAGCCACTTGTGTTCCCGTATAGAGGTGTGATGCAGGTGGCAATGAGGGACACAGGTGGGAAGAATGAGATCTGGACCGCTTCAGTGTACACTTGCCTGGTCTGTTGAGCAAAGAGTTAAATTAAAAAGGTACTTTAATATTTGCTTCGCTAAATTCCCTCCATGTCTTCAATTAGATAAACAGAAGTGCAGGTGGGAATGTGCCGCATGTTCATTTGTCTTGCTGTTTGGGGGCTGGCTTTTAAGACTGAAATACTAATGTAATTGTGTTGAAATGAACAATAAGGAAGTACAGTAGTTCAGGAATGAAAATGTTAAATTAAATGGACCATGTTTAACATTGTTGTTGATCCTGAGGAACAGTTTTTCCAGTATATGGAGCATTTCGATTCCATCCAGCATATGTTCTCCACAGTTTTCTCTGCTCTAATTCATCTGTGTTTTTCGACAGCTCCAGATGGCGTGCTGCCTCCCAGGCTTTCATCTGCCACTCCAACCAGTCTTCAGGTTGTCTGGTCTACACCAGCTCGTAACAACGCTCCCGGCTCTCCCAGATACCAGCTCCAGATGAGGCCTGGCCACTCCACCCATGGGTTTCTAGAGTGAGCTTTCCACTTTGTCCATCCTCCTGTCAGCTGGGTGAAACAATGTAGACAGAAAATTTTTAAAGAATAAGTCAATTCTTATTTGTAACAAATGTAGTTTAGGCTATAGAAGTTCAAAAAAACTCCAAGAAGCAAGCAAACAACCTAGAGGATAATTATTTGCTTTGTCAAAATATCTATTTTTTCATTTACATGGCATTTAAAGTAAGATCTCTTCACGATAAACTTTTCATGAGCACATGTATTGCACAAAGCAAGGACATACCTGCAACTAACAAAATGTTGTCTGAACTGTGGCTAGAAAATTATAACACCTATTCCTCAAATCTACATGACAATCGGTCTCAGTACTGCTAGGATTTACCTCTCTTATAAACACAAGATTACAAACCCTCAGCCAAATGGCCATTTATTTTGAAAGAGAGATCGTTTGGCAGCACAACATTGCATGTTGACATTCTCTGAAAATTTTTGCTATAAGATTTTCCTTGTTTGTTATTTCTTTGAATTTCTAAACTTCCTAATTCACATTTCTTTCCCATGTAGGTTATTTTCCAATCCTTCTGCATCGTTAAGCTACGAAGTGAGAGATCTCCAACCATACACGGAGTATATGTTTCGGTTGGTTGCCTCCAATGGATTTGGCAGTGCACATAGTTCTTGGATTCCATTCACGACCGCAGAGGACAGTAAGTGGTCTGAACAGTACCCAGCCAAATGTCCTCTACATTAGGGAGTTTTAAATGTCTTCAGTTTTTACAAAGCAGAGAAATGAGCCTCCCCTATTTTCTTGCCCTTCAGTGACAATCATTCTTTTCCAGGGCAAGAGAGGGGGCTAGGGTAATCAGTCTCTCTAGAAAGGGGAAAAATGTAGACTTGGAGGGTTCGGCCTACAGACAGGAAGAAATAAGTCACAATAAACTATGACATGGCCCCATTCTGTCCTTCAGGGTACATCTGGGTGCCCTGTAAGAGAAAGGTGGTCATCTTCTGCTCTGTGACCAAATGTTCTCTGTTTTAGAGGATTTCTGGCAGGCAGAAGAAAATGTAATATGGACCTTACTTAATGAGAATGCTTAGAGCATTCATATACTTGTTTCTGGAAACAGATTCCTTGGTTCTTTTCCTTGTACCTGAAAGACAGCCTCCAGGATAAAGAAATATAATCTGATAACAGTAATTCTGCATGTATTACAAAGGGTAGATTGGGATACTCATATTCAACCAATAAAGAGAATTGTCTAGTTTTTAATGAAAAGTTATATCTGCATATATATATATATATATATGTATATATATATTGCTAGATTATATTTGAGAAACAAATATATGCTTATAATATTTGGTTTTATACAAACCACCCCTCTCAAAGCATATATATAAAAGTATAGATTTTTTTCAGAAAAGCTGGAAATTAAATCAAGCTACACAGAGTGAATGAGGACACTGTATCTTTGAACAATGAGGCTTTTAGAGTTAATCTTGTCAAGTCTTTTAATCATGGGCTTCTTAGGAAATGTTGCTCTGTTGGCCAATTGCCATCCTGGCTCTATGTCCAACGAGAACCAGAGTGACTTTCAAAAGGCTAGATATTATTATAACACACAGATATGGTATTTGAAACAGTATCAGTTGTATATTAAATAGATTGTTTTATTTCCATAATACCTCTAATTATATCATTTTAGTGAGGATAAGACATCAAATGAAAATCAGAATAGTTTACCTTCTTTAAAGTTTATTTAAAAAACACACCATTACGAGCAATAATACATAATACTTAATTCATTTCTCCCAGTTCGGAATTACTCCCTGGGAGCAAGTTAGGTACTTGGCAAGGGCACATCAGTGTTTTTGGTCTCAAGGGTATCATTTAGTAAATTATCAGCACGGTACGATAAACGGCACCCAAGGCCTAGAAAGCATTAATGCACCACCTTTTAGGAGGAACATTACATACACTCTGGGGAATCTGACACCATGGTCACCAATTGTATTCAGATTTATGAACTGGAGAGCTCACACTCAAAATAGATTTTTGAAGAAATATTTTTTTTAAAACAACTGAAGACAGATTTCTAATCTTCTTAGATATAGCGGTATGCTTGATGATACTCCATAAAGATTAACTAAAAATAATTATTCAACCCACTGCAGAGGTGATGGCTCAATAGAATGCTGGGTTAAAATAAGGGAGAGAGGGTTTCCTTTTCTTTGGCACCACCATTTCTTTTCCCCCAGAAAAAGGGCAATGCTCAAATTTCCTCAGTGGTAATCTGCGCACAATTCTTAATGAATGGAGGTCATGACCTCTTATTTATAGGCAGGAAAGTAGCACATAAATAAAGTCCCAAACATTTCAAAATACCAATTTGCATAGCATCCTTTGTTGAGCAAACTTACCTCCCATCTCCTCTTAGTAGAACACAAGTCTTAGAGTCTATACAGGGTTAGCATTCTCATGCACAGAGGAGACCCTGTGATCTTCGTGATTTTTAGGGCCTAGGTTTGAAGTGAGTGGTATTAGCCCATCATTTTCCTTAAGAACTAGTAATACTTGATTATATAGCAGGTATCAACTCAAAAAAACCCAGCCATCATTTTTATGTAAATCCTTTCTCTGAGATGGGTGAACTCTTCCTCTGCTTTGCATGTGTAGTGTGTAGTCATACACATAGCAGAGAGCAGCAAGCTGGCCATTTGCCCCTCCAGGTTATGCTACTAGTACATACTCACTCCTGAGATGCAGTGACAGTGTCCTCTATATTTTGGATGTCGTCGGAGATGGATGCCATCTCTGAAAGGCTATGCAATTGAGTTGACAAAGACTGACTGATTGGCATTGGGCACAAGCAGTTTTTCTGTCAAGGCTACAAAGCATTGCTTATAAAACCACCCATGCTGACAGCTCCATGCCAGAATCACACTTCATACTTGATCCTGACCAGCACCTCCCGCTCACCAAAGTGCAATTTCCAATGTAGAAATTTCACATATCATCTCACCGAATAAAAGAGAGAAGTCACCTCATGCCCACATTTAAATTTCATACCATCGACAGGCACCTGTCTGCATCAGCCAGAGCCTCAAAACTTCCCTGCGCCAAAATGGGTCACCAATGGCAATATTTTTAGTGTGATATTTCAAGACAGTGATTTTCATCAAGCCTGTGACACAGCTGAAACCAGAAAGAAAAACCTAGGCAGGAAATGAGCTATAGCCAGAGAAGCAAGTGCGTGGGTGCAAAGAGAAGTTCTCATGAACAGAGAAAAGGGATGCGAGGAATTTTAATAGATTTTTTTTTTCAAATAATTTGTCATGTACATCAGTGTGCCACCAATATCCAGTTCCATGCATTTTTAAAAATCTAGTGTGCTGATGCCAAATAATAATAATGCACATTTCCTATGAATATTTTAAATCCTGTTAAACGTGTGTTAATAAAAGATGTTTGTTCCAGCCAACTTGGTCAGTGTAGTGTTCGACTATTTGCGACCAGATAAATACAAACAACATGATTTCTTTTAATGTGCTGCTGGCAGTCCAAGCACCTGGCAAGTCTGAAGCTTGCAAAAATACATTAAGATTGAGTTAGACTTGCAAGCGCATGATTAATAAAATGAAGACACTTGCCTAGGAGCTAAAAATTTTGGTATCTTTAAACCAGAAATAACCATCAGTCCTGATTATATTATTATTTCCTCTGTCTCTTGTATGTTTGTAATTGTTTTCTATATGGTATATACATGAAGAAATTTTAGTTGGCAGGGAGGGAAAGTTTTTTCAAATTTCAGCTTAAAGGTGGATATACTCTTTTGCCTACTAAAATCCTACCTTGTGTAAAATATGAGATAACCTACTTTTCCTTAAAAATGTGGATTCCCTAGGCCAATACAAAATCAGATAATCTCTTTTTCTCAAAGTTTTCTAGGTAAGAAGATGGAACTGTGAAATATCTGGTTATTTCAGTCATCTTAATGACAAACATACATGGTATACACAAGCAATTAGATAAATTAATAACATTAAAATAGTTTTCTAAAATTCACTTCTCTACCTCCAAAAAACCACCCAAACCCTGAATATACTCTAGGTTAAACTATTTAGTTGTCATGTATTTTTAAAAATTTGATCATTTCCTAAATTTGCAGTTTAAAATTCCACATTTATATTTTTAACTATTCATATAAGAGGCATTATTAAATAAAATCTGTGGGAATCGAATAGTTTATTCAGTAGGTTCACTTAGACAATTTTTTCGTGTATTCATTATTGTCCTAACAGACTGATTGTTCATGAGTTTTGACTACAGTATGATAGGAAGATATATCTTATTACCCACACAGTGAGATTTTAAATACAGTCCTGTGCTGCATAGAGATGTTTCGGTCAATGGCAGAGAGATATGCAACAATGTCCCATAAGATAATAGCATATTCTTACTGTACCTTTTCTACATTTAGATATGTTTAGATACCCAAATACTTACCGGTGTGTTACAACTACAGTATTCAGTACAGTAACAAGCCGTACAGACTTGTAGCCTAGGACCAATAGGCTATATCAGCTGGGTGTATGTAAGTATACTCTATGATGTTCGCACGACAAAATTGCCTAATCATGCATTTCTTAGTACATATTTCTGTTGTTAAGTGGCACATGACTGTACCACTAACATGCTGTATTTACTTGTTGCATTATATTGTGTTGCTTTTTTCACATTTATAATTGCACCGTGAACAGAGGATGGGGTAATGAGGACAATTATCCTAGTATCTTGGTCCTACTTTACTATTCCCTTTTGCAGCCTTCATTCATCTTGCAGATACTCCTACCAGTTTACAAAGGAACCAAGGTTCTTCTATGTCTGGCAGGAGGTACACGTAGTAAAACCATAGTTAGAGTATGCAGAGCAAGCCCGGAGGAAAGGTGTGCCCCTCAGCATAGGGTGTCAGGAAAGCCTGCGCAGAGGAGAAGACCAGGAGAGGAGATAGGAAATGATTTATATTTGGAGTTCACTTTAATATTAAATTTCAAATTTACTTCATCACCATTGGCCCGGGAGAAGGAGAAAAAGGCAATTGGTATAACAGGTGTCCACTAACACATGAGACATGGAGAGAAACTTTCAGGGTGGTCTGTCAGTGGTTCCAGCCTCACAGTATGCGACAAGGAGAATGAGGATGAGAGGCAAATGGAAGAGAGGGAAATCCCAAAAGTGATCCTTATTCTTCACCTTGGTCAGAAGCAGGCTGCTGGCTGTCCCTTTGATTCAGCATTGGCTGCCCTGGCTTGGTTAAGGAATGTTCTAATTAGAAAGGCCTTTGCTAGTCCAAACCATGTGCTATTGAAAATGAAGAGGATGGGATATATAGAAAGAAAATTCTAAAAGGGAAAAAAATTTGTTTTGTTCTTATTCTCACAACTTATTTAAGAATAAAACACTTGGAGTCCATGTAACAGAAAGGGAAGTAAAAATGTGGTCTGAAGTTCAATAAATTGATCAAGATAGTTGTAGAGTAGGATTTTCCAAGTCATTTAATAAGTGCATGTGTGCCTTTGAGAATATGAAATTTTGAAACTAATATCTCATGGCAAACATCCTTTTATGATTAGTGCATTTTAGAATTTAAAGTTTCAACTTGGATCCATAAGAGAGTTCTATGTAAGAGAAAATAGGAATATTTTT